CCTACTTTGGAGGTGGCATTGTGAGTAGTGGGGACATGTTTGAGGAGTGGGGGTAGGTTCGAATGACGCTGTGGCCACGGAATTTTCCGATAGTAGCGCTGTCAGTTGTAGACATGGCTTGGTCGAATGAGCAACGCGCTTTTGCTGTCGAGACGTATTTTTCTCAGAATAAGTCTATTGTTACAGTGCTGCGAACTCGTTATCGGATTCCTCCTCGCAACCGCAAATCCGTTTTTTTGTGGGTGGAAAACTTCCTTGCATGTGGTAATGTAGTGAAAAAGGAGAGTTGGGGCTCAAAGGACCGTCCGTACTGCGGAAAACAGTGACCGTGTACAGTAGTGTATTGACAAAGAGGGACATCACTTGAATGATGTGGTGTTTAAAACAAAGTAAAATTATTAGTGCTGCGAACTCGTTATCGGATTCCTCCTCGCAACCGCAAATCCGTTTTTTTGTGGGTGGAAAACTTCCTTGCATGTGGTAATGTAGTGAAAAAGGAGAGTTGGGGCTCAAAGGACCGTCCGTACTGCGGAAAACAGTGACCGTGTACAGTAGTGTATTGACAAAGAGGGACATCACTTGAATGATGTGGTGTTTAAAACAAAGTAAAATTATTATTAAAATTAACTTCCAACTGTACCCTTCTGATGACTCAATAAAGTTTTGTTCTAACATTTTTCGTTTTTTTTAAATTTACCTTCAAAGTTAGGGGTACTTCCCTGCCCCACCCTGTAAGAAGAAATGTCATATGGGCGAAATCTGTTAGCTGTTAGCTTTGTCGTTAATCGACAGTGACACGACTGAATTTCACATAACTTATATAAAAGGACGAAGGACTGTATTTTGCCTTTATGAATTGTTCCACAGTTAATGTACTAATTTCTGAAGTTTATTAATTAAAACAAAATTGATGAGACTGCATTTAAATAAGAGAAATATTTGGGACGTCGTACTGCCAACTTAATACAACCTGCACTAATACAACTTCTATATCAAAATTCCCTAGTTACAAAAAGTTACTATAACATCATTTTGATAAAAATTTCTAGAAAATATCTTCTCAATAGAAAAAATAGTATAAGAAACTTGTTTCATAAGACGCCCCATCGCACTCGTTCATTAGAAAACTCGCCGCAAGCAGCTCGTTTTCTAAACTTGAACTCATGCGTTAAATGCGCCACTTATGAAACTTGTTTCTTAATATACTATAATGTCGTTCTACATGAAAATGGTAAAAATACGTAATAGGTATTTAAACCTATAACTGGAACAAGGACTTATTATAGTAGGCTGTTAAGAAAACAAGAATAACAGGTGAAATAAGTAATAAATAAAAAAATAAATATATAAAAATACTTTATATAATAAGTTCCAATAGATATCTACCTACCTATATTAATGGAAGGTGTTCAAAAACGTTTCCATTTTCTTCAGTATACGGCGGATCCTGGGGCAGATAAAACCATATTTTCTAGGACATAAACATAAACAGCACTGTGTAATAACGTTCAAAGTTAGCTGTCAGAGACTTTACAACCAACAACGCCATTTTATCATTTTTATGGATAACTAGATCAAAATTTAAATAATCGAAAAACCTAGCGAAAAACTTTCGTTATTTGCAGTAGTCCGGTTATGGTGCATTAAGACCTCTTGTAGATCATTTTATAAACTGCCATATGATGCAATACAGGGCGTTCCACATAAAAACATCGTATTTTTGTTACCTGAAAAATATGATGTTCTTTTGTTTTTTTAATGACTAGAATTAGTAGACAATACTGCCCCATTTTGGTTTTTATATCAAAACCCACCAGATTTTAAGATCGCTTAGTTTTCGTTCCTCACGATGCGCCATGAGTAATCCTGATTTAGCTGTTTCGGTCACGTAAAAGACATTAAGATTGTGTTATCGCCCGTTAGACTGGCACCGATTACCTTTCTCAGGAAATTAACCGGTCGCATCCAAAAACCAATGACCCACAAAATATAGATGGAAAATTTTATTAAGGTTTGGTTTTAAAGTTTACAAATAATATAATTTGTCTCTCTAGGAAACACCCAGTATATCTCTTAACAGCTACAACTGTAGTACCCTAACGAAATTAAAAAAAAAACATTCAAGGGCTCCCGTTACACAGCATACG